TCTTTACCTCAAGTCACTTCTTTATACACATTATTTATCTTTTTATGAACTGGCCTATAATCTGAGCAGAGAAAAACAACATTGTGATCTCATTTCCCAAGAGGAGGTCTTACTTCACAGATGTAGGAGTTCTTGACATTTGCATTAAACAATTCCACAGTTTTGTTTTCTCTTGTAGAGCAGCTTACAAACTGTTTGAACATTGGCAAGGTAGCAGAGAGTGAGGCAAAATAAAAAGCACCAGCTATTGCCACAAATGGCTGTTGCGTATGTTGCTCAGCAAAAACAGAACTGATTAAATCACGTGTAGTGTTGGGAATGGCATCTAGAAATCAAGGATTTAAAGTTCTCTTAAAAAAAAATCAGAATATCTACCTTAAGCAGCACAATTCTAAAATTAAACCAGCTTAAAATCATTACAATCATTTATATGTTCCTAAAAAAAGGCTATAAGCTATTTTTTAAAATACATTTCATCTCTCAACTGTGGAGTGCAATCCTCATTTCCTGTTTCAGTGATGGTAACAGTATTTCAGTTTTACTTTTTTATGAACTTTTGATAGCGTTCTACAAATTTAATGCAGTGTAGATTCATGTGTCAGCACAGTTTCTCAACTAACAGAGTCAACTGCATAGTCTGCTTAAGTGTGCAGTAACACTAATTAGTTAAAGCTCGGCATTTCAGACATTAAGCAAGGAAAATGTCCTTTCAATAAAACTCAGTAATAAAAAAAACTCAGTAGTCTTGAAATGTTGTGCCTAAGTTAAGTCAGGAGACGGCATCCAAACCTGAGGAAGTTTTATAAAATACCCCTCTGTTCATGGCAATGGACGATCGATTTCTCTGATCGGGTGGATATATAACACAAAGTTTTGGAGATGGACATGAAGCATTGCAGAAAAGAAGAAGTTTAGCCTAATTTTTTTATTTTTTTTTTGTGAAAAAAATTTCAGCGGTAGGTGGAGTACCCAAAAATGATACTTAATTAAAAGTAGCACTACATCATCATGTGACTGTGATCTCACAACACTGCTCTCCTTCTCTGGAATATCTCTTCATTAACTGTAAACCATTTTATTCTCCGCGTGAGTTCGTTTCATTCATCCTGGCGGCAGTATCCCGCCTGCCGCTGACGCATATGAGGCTCAGCGCGTGCTGTCGGACCATGTCTTACATGTGGAGCGGACTTTTCCTGACTCTCTTGTTATTGTGCTTGGTGACTTTAACAAAGGAAATCTGAGCCAGGAACTACCCAAATACAGACAGTTTATTAAATGCCCCACCAGAGAGCAGAACACTTTGGATCACTGTTACACAACAGCAAACGACGCCTATCGCGCCGTCCCAGTGCCGCCCTTGGACTATCAGATCACGTGATGGTCCATCTCATACCCACATATAGACAAAAACTGAAGCTAGCTAAGCCTGTAGTTAGCACAACTAAGATCTGGACCAGTGAGGCTGTGGAGGAGCTCCGCACGTCTCTGGAGACCACAGACTGGGAGGTGTTCAGGGCTGCTACAGATAATCTGGACGAGTACACTGACATTGTGACCTCATACATTCACTACAATGAGGAGTGCATCCTACCAACGCGCACCAGGGCGTGTTATGCAAATGACAAGCCCTGGTTCACACCTAAGCTCGGCCAGATTCGATGAGAGAAGGAGGCAGCATGCAAGAGT